GGGAAAGAAATTATGATTGTTGATTTCCTCTAACCTTCTAATACAATCCAAGGTGAGGAGTTTCAGGCAATAATTTTCCAATTCACCACAGATGAATCAACAATTCATTTTTCACATTCTACGGTATCTTTCAGGGAAATGTTTGCTTCAAAAACCGGATTCACAAGAGTGATGCTGGTCAGAGGTCACATGGATTATCACCTAACTGGGTGCTAAATTCAACACATCTGCTGGTCTCCAACTAAATGAAAACAATTCTCAAAACAGATTTTTGTGCAAATACAAATGTGGACTTGACCTGCTGTTTATATCTGACGCTTCACAGACTATTCCTGTCAGTAGGATCATTTGGTAGAACAACTACAGTGGATGAGTACATGCACAGCCACATACAGGCAAACAGCACAAACACAGGTGACATTGCAAAAACCCAGTGGATAGCCCCAGAAACTGGAAACATTTCATTCAGTTTTGTAGGGACTGCCCTCCTCCCTTACTGTCAGATTCATAGAGAACATCCTTTTTATTTATACAGGAACATATAATTAGTGTTACCAGAGTTAAAGCAATTAATGAAAACAGAAGAGAAATGCAAAAACATGAAGGAACCAGAGCGCCATGGAATTTCAAGGTTAAGCAGTGGTGGCAGCAGCTTGCCTTTAGTGACCATTGTCAAAAGTTCAAAAGAACAGGACAGTGCAGCGAACAAACAGCTGTTAGACCAAGAAAATTACTTAAAGAAAGCAGAAAGGCAAAGGCGGAAAAAGAAAAGCAAAGGGAGATTAGGGCACAGGGAACCCATATCTCAGAAGACGGCAGGTCAGCATTTTGTTGGCTGCTAGTCCACCCCTTGTTTCTAAATCCTATTTCCATTCTAGGGTAAAACATCTGTAAGCAGAAGCCTTGGCCACTGCACCATATCATCCATTTAGCAGGACTTCATGCTTTTGTGTGTGTTGCCAGCTTTCTGGATCCACGCATGGAGAGAATTGTGTGAACACTGCTAGGCCTGCAGAAGGACGGCCACAGGCACCACAGTATATGGGAGGATTTGAAACAAATGTCAGAGACACTGCTGGATAGCTGCAATTGAACTGTAAAATAGTGATGTTTTATGTTAGTTTTTTAATTTTAAAATGTGAGTTTGAGGTGTCTCAGGTGAATGAACTGCTGTTAAGCAATAGATACAAGAGGGAGAGCCACTGGCAGCATCCTTGCAAGGATTCTGCCCAAGAGGGACCAGAGAGGAAATGAGTTTGCTGTCTGGCCAGCTGCAGGGCAAGCCCCTTCCCAGCACAGGAATTTCTGTTGGTGATAGTGCAGGTTGTAAGTCCTCTTTAAGCTTGGGAGTGACACTCTCCTTCCCGCAGTCTTCCAATTGCAGGAAAAAAGATGGGGAGAAGAGTTCAGTGACAAACTCAGTCTTTTAACCCAACTGTTTTGTCTCTTGTTCCCTCAGGTTAGGCATGGATAATTCAAATGTCAGGTCAGAGCTGTTCTAGCTGACTGGGAAACAGAGATACGATCATTACAGAACTAAAACTTGCCTCTATTTTTGAGTAAGCAAGTTGCTTCCCTTTCAAGAGGAGGGTAGCTTCACAGTGAGGTTGGATATTCAGTGAAGAGCCAGTCCATGAAAGATGTATGAGGAGAGGCTGAGAGAGCTGAGACTGTTCAGGTTCAAAAAGAAAATGCTCAGGGGGGTCTTGCCAATGTGTATAAACACCTGATGGGGGAGCAAAGATGACAGAGCCAGACTCTTTTCAGGGGTGCACAGTGACAAGACAAGAGGCAAGGGGCCCAAATTTAAACATGGCAAATTCCATTTAATGCAAGAAAAAAAAAATTTTACTGTGAGGGTGGTCAGGCATTGGCATAGATTGGCTAGAGAGGCTTTGAACTCCCCATGCTTGGAGATAATCAACACACGATGGGTGATGGCCCTGAGAAAATCTGCTCTAGTTGACTCTGCTTTGAGCACAGAGGTGGGACTAGCTGATCTCCAGAGGTCCATGCCTATCTCAACTATTCTGTGATTCTGCACAAGAAAACTGGGAAGTGGGATCATGAATTCTGAGTTCTTGGGAAAGGGGAACTGTTGTGGTCTATGAGGCCTCATGTGCTGGATCCCCTTTTGTCAGCACAGTGTCTGTGGCATGCTCCCAGGGCGCTGCTGGGTTTAAGAATGCTTTCCCACACCTTGCTGTGTACCAGACAGTTTTTTGCACTCTGCACATCTCCAGGAGATGAGATCTGAGTATCCCATGCCATGATCAAAGCCATAGGCTTAAGCTCCAGCCCCAAATTTATAGACTAGTTATGAATAAAAGTTGTGATTTTCCATTTAATTTCACATCAGTGTCTGTGTCATCTTCTTACTTGAGTGTTAGAGTCAATAAGAACCAAGAGCTTAATGCCAAAAACTTAATTAACAATTCCAGCCCAGAATGTGCTTTTGCTACATCTAGGCCTACGCCACTTCCCAGCTTTTTCAAAACACGTCTATGATTAAACCTGCTTCAAAGACAGAGATTAAGGAATTCTTCTAGGAGATAATGATCAAACACTTTACACATCTCATACTTACAGCTAAATGCAAAGGACTTTTTGTAGCTGCAGAATCAGATTCCTCAAACATATTGTTGGTTTTTTCAAGAAGCTGGGGGGGGGGGGAAAGAAAAAAAAGACAGTCTTAAAACATCTTTGGATGAGACAGGATAAGTTCTCATGGACTATAAATCAGCAAAGATATATTTTGTCCTCAGATGTGTGCAGTGAGTATTGAAGGACTGTGAGGAATAAATACTTCACAACCTTTTCTGTAAAGTATTTTCAAGTTTTTTCCCACAGGGTAAAGTTATAGAACTAGCTTAAAAGCTTGTCATGAACATCCTTACCCTGATTAATTAGTTTCCCTGAAATCACAAGGCCTGCTTGGGTGAGAAAGGAGCCCTCAAAAGGAAGGATTTGCAGAGTAGAGCCCTCAGTAAGTTTACACTGGAAAAAGCGCGGTTTCACAATTACACAGATAATGCATACGCAAGCCATGTCTGATACAGCATTGTGGATAATTCTGACACATAATTAGCACTGTGAATTAGTATAACTAAGCTGTGAGTCATTCATTTTTATAAATTCTCAAGGTAGAACCTACTTCTATAGTGACAGTTTTCTGAAACACAACACATCTTTGAACTCTTACAAACATCTAATAACAAACATCACACTTTTATATGATCCTCTTGATTTCAAGGGATCCCAAAGCATTTTAAGGCATTTCTGTCCATCTCACACAGTTTTTTTAATTTTTTTTTAAATTATTTGTTTGCTTTGGATTTTTTTGACAGAGTAAGGAATTAATGAAAGGACTGAAAAGAGAAAAAGAAGATTTTGTGACAATCTGGACAATTCTAGAGTATGACAACATGGAAGACTCTCCAAAGAGACTGGTGAAAGCCTATGCTAGGCTTGCCTATGCTCCAAGATGATGGCATATTCTAAACTCTGATGTATGCCTGAACTTTTGGTGTAACAAATTAGTCTCTAATACAGCTATATCAACGATCATTTTATCCAAAAATCAAACTGGAATACAAGCTAGCATTAATAATGCATAAGGTGTTACAAACCTCTTACTAAACAAGGATACTAATCTGAATCTGATGGAAAAGCTAGAAAATTAAGCAGTAATTTTGTTTATTTGTATATTTTGTGCCTAGTAAAATGTCAGGACTGGGAAAGAAATGTCAGTTGATACAAATGCCACTCATAAGCAAGTGGGGGTGTGTATGAACAAGTAGTACAGATTTGAACACTTCCCTGTAGCTAAGGGGGGGAAAAAAAAAAATCAAGTCTCTTACCAGTTTTTCAGTAGGTTTGGGGCAGAGTTAGGAAACACATTTGGTCTTACCATGTGGAACCACCTCCAGTTTAAAATATTGTTCTTCTCTTACATAAGATAGCTATAAACAGGAGGAAGCAGTAACTAGCTCTGAATACATTCTAATTTTCCCTAGTGAGTAAACAAACTAAAAAAATCCCACTGAAAAAACCCAAGCACTAAGCCTGTTCCTCCGCCTGCCTAACACTGGCCTTTACTCTGAGTCCATAAGGCCAGCACAGCAGACTAATTTAATAATTTTTAATTACATTTATCAGTATCTGTGGAAATTCCAGGATCAAAATCTTAACAAAGAAATACTTCCCTTAACCTGTCAGACGGCTCCAAAAGTCTCTTGGAATAAGGCAGATAATTGCCTTTTGAGTACATCAAAAAAACGACGCAGAAAACTGACAAAATTAAGGCTCTAAAGGAACAAATTGTGGGATTGGAGAGCCCCTCACAAAAGGCATCTCCATGGCTTAGAGTTAAAGCAGCTTAGGCTGACGCAGACTAGGCTTAATGAGCTTATTACTCGTAAGGCTGAATGTCTCCATCATAAAGTCAGGCATAAACAAGAATTTGATGGCAAACTTGGTAGCTCTCAGATACATAGCCATACAGTGCAAGAAGAGAAATTATAAAGGAGAGCAAGCATAGGAAGATTAAAGAACAGCACTATCAATTTTTTAGTATGCCTTGTCAAGCACTGCTTTATAACAATTAAACCTAAGTCATCTGAGAGGTAAACAGCATACACAAAGAGACAAAAAGTACCAGGTCCAAGTTACCAAGCAATTCTCCAGTTTCACCAGTTTCTATGGCTCTAAGAATGCATTTATAGTAAATTACATATACTTGTTAGAAGAACACACAAAATAGTGTGTCCTTGAGGGGCTCTAGCTCCATAATACTTCCATCTTAGAGTATACTTGTGAGAAGCTACCCACAGTTGCATCTGTTTTTAAAAAGGTGAATTTAGCACTCAAAACCATTTGCGCTGACAGCAATGGAAGCTTAAATCCACACACCCCGCAGAGCAATCTAAGTATATCTGCTGTGCTGCGACGCATACCTGCCTGCTAGAAGCTGGCCAGTGCATTTCAGTGAAGACAGACAAATAAGCATGAATTACCAACAATTTATGGTTACTGGTGGCTGACTGGAGAACGTCCCAGCATATCTCATTTCTAGTTTCTTGTGCCATGGAAATCATGTCTTTTAGCTGATTACATTTCTGTATATTGATTATCCACAGACTTTAAGCAGATGTCAGAATTGTGCAGAGACACTGCAAGTGAAATTGGTGGGTGCTGTTCTCTCTGGTTAGGTTACAACCTTTTAAAAGGTAAGAACACCCTTACTTCTACTTCTGCCTCTTGGAAATTCCCATCATGACCACTTCACTTCCCATAACAGCACTATTTAATACTGTACATAATTATTTTGTAAAATCTTCTTCACACTCAGAAACAGGAACTTGAATGCTTTGGGAGTGAGATGCAGACAAAGTAAGATGAACCATGTCAATTATTCAGTTCTATTGTTACAAACTAATAGCGCTACAAGGCTGCTATTATAAACTCTCTTCTCTCCCCCAGCTCTGTATGATGATTAATAACATTTACAGTTCTCATAATTTTATTTTATTTGTACGGTAAGGGTATTTACACACATAAGAGGCTTTACTGCTTGATTTTATTCTGTGGTTATAATAAAGCAGAATATAGTATAATATATATGTAATGTAATGTAATATGGCAGAATATGGTATGGGGGATTTTCTCCCCTCCGTTCTTTGGGGGGGAATCAGATGTGCCAGTTAATGAGTCAGAGTAGTTCTTGCAATTGTCCTTATAGACTGTAATATATTCTAAAATTCAGCTCTGGGTAAAAGAAAAAAAAAAAAAGCTTCATGGAGCATCTCAGTAATTTAAAGTTACCATTAGGCAGAAAAGGAGATAATACTTTCATTATGCATAAAAGGATTAAGCTACACTTTTAAAAGGAAGATGTCAGAAGCAACTTCAAACTGTAGACACTGTAATGATGGGTGCTATCTCAGCTCCTGAAGGAGAACAGAACGTGTAATTCTGTATAAGCCATCATGCACCCACACCTCCAGGCACAGCCTTTATGTGCACTGCTGGTAGTCATGTCAAAGGTTTGATCTAACCACCACTGACGTGACAGTGACTTTTCTTTGAGAGTTTTACTATTTTAGTGAGTAAGGCAACTTCTACATTCCAACAGGCATACTTTCAGCACTGTTACTGAACTTCTTCAGTTTGGTGCTATTAATACTAATCATAAAACAGCTAAACATTAGATTACATGTGTATAATCTATAAATGGCCTTTAGTCTGAAGAGTTATTAAGCAAACAGCATTCAGAAATTTTCACACATGTGAAGAGCTGATCAAAAGGCAATTAAGACAAAAGATATAGTTGAACATTGCTCTTCTGCAATAATTACATAGCAATGTAGCTTATCACTTACAAGGTCATTTCAGAAGTGGCAATTAGTAACAATTTTTCATGTCACTTTCAGAATTGAATAAAAATATATCAGCTAGGATGTCACTTGGAATCTCACCTTTCCTGATTAATTGCAATAGACAATTGTCTGTACTAGGAGAAAACGTACCAGCAGCAGCTTCTTTTAAATAAAGGCTTTTCCAGCAAGTAGCAAGCACAAGGTTGAAGACTGCCATCAGTTGTTACAGATGAGATAGAAAAGAGTAATAGAATTAACCCCTGTACTACTTTATACCAGGGAAGCACATTTTTAAATCTCAGAATTATTCTTGATTGAATAATTCAAAGGTGAAGTGGTACAAACATATCCTCAGGGAGGACAAGCAATCCTATAAGCTCTCTCTCCATATTTGTAAACACAAATGATCAAATTATTTAAATTTGATCAGGTTAAAACCAATACACATCCTAACCCAGTGTCTGATATCTTTTCCTAAAATCAGGCTTTAAAAATCAGATTAATAAGTGTTTACATGAACTTCACTCACATGAGTAGATTATGGGCGAAGTTAAAATAACATAAGCGAGAAGTTGGTGCGCAAGAGCTTAGGTAGACTGAGTCTGAAGAAATTTGGCAGTAGTTCCATGCAACTCTTCCAGTACAAAGTTTGAACATCCAATACCCTTACCAGAACAGTCACCGCCATGCAAACAGGACACTTACCTGGCATATAAGAGACCAATGTTCAAGGCTTTAAATATATCTAAATCTCAAAATTCAAGCAGACCTCCAGGCCACTGGCTGTTCTCACCTGGGACACTAATCTTCTGTTGGAGCTCTTCCACTTCATACAAAATTGTTTCATAGTAAGCCGTATGAGTGCCATACTCAGTGGGTTATACAGGAGATTCTCGCCCAATGAGTATTTATTTATACAAGCAGGACGGCTCCAAACGAGAGCAAGAGATCCTACACAGTACCACCCAGTATAATATGTGGGTCACTTCCTGGGAGGTAGAAGTCCAATTTCTTTGTCAGTCAGGGAAGAGATTTGAACCTGGAATGTTCACACTCGAATCACGTATATCACACTTGTTTCTGGCCAGAAATTCTACCTCAGAGGTTCTGTAAAGCCTCATACTTTGGTTTAAGGACGTTCTTACCCAGTGAAAGTTTTGCAAAATTTCATACACTTGTGTAAAAGGCATAGGAAGACTTTTATTTAGAAAAATTATTATCTTTAAAAAATTTCCGCTTTAGCTAGAAAATTTGAGCACTGGTGAAATAGAGTGACAGTGAA